ATTAAAAAAATAATTAATATAATTATTTTTTTTATTAGTTTTACTATAAATTTAAATTTCATTTTAAATATACTTTAAAAAATAAAATTAACAATAAATAAAAGATATAAATTTTAGAATTAATAATTGTTATTTATAATTAAGGTTAAAAAAATTATTTTATCCTATTCTTTTATGTTAAAAATTACAAGCTCTCTTCTCAAGAAAATTAAGATATTTTACTCATTTTTAAAATTTTAATAAAATTTTGTTAACTTTCCTTGTAAGAAAAATATTACTAAATTGATGCTTTTAATAAATTTTTTTAAGAATTAATGTATAAATTGGTGTTTTATGATCAAATATTTTATTATTTTAATTGATTAAATTATATATTTTAACATAAAAATGATGATCATGTAATACCCTTATCTTAAAGTGGAAGATAACATAACTTACTCAATAAGAAAATGATGGAGAGAAAAAATAGTAATTATGGAGATAAATTTGCCTAAAAAACATATACACGAAGTTTATCTCTTTACTATTAGTATGTGTTATATATATATATATATATATATATATTGATACTAATTTACCAAGTCTCTAAATTGCTATATATCTTAGCGATTGAAATGATTGTGACAGATTATTTCGGTCTCTATTTCAGTCGCTAAGAAAATAAAATGACCAAATACCACATTGGTTGTTGATTCAGTCGCTGATTAGAGACAGATAAGTTTCGGTCGCTATTTTGCACTTTTTATGTAGTGCTAGGGATTGAGGGTCAATCCTGCTACCCAATCGTTGCCCTACACCCCAGAGCGAGACTTTCATTCTCCCCTTACCTTGATCGACACTAGTTTCAAGATCTTGCTCTCCGAATTTTTCTTTTGGTTGCCTTTGGTTTGCTTCCCTTTTTAGATCACAAAGTATGATCAGATGCATGTGAGGCAAACCTAGTATTACTAATGTGTTAAACAAAACCTTAACTCTCACCCGCACCTATAAATTGTTAATAAAAAGCCCAACTGATTTACCTCATACATTTGAATTTTTTTAAAAAATAATTAATAGATATTATCAAATCAAATCGCTCGGAATATTTTATTCCCAATTAATTAATAAGAAAATATTTATTTATTCTATTTGAAAAAAGTGGGATGTTACAAAAAATAAAGGCAACAAGGATATATAAAACTGAGTTAATAAGATAAATCCTACTCGCCATTAACAAGTTTTTTTTTTGCCATGATGTCAACTTCTTTATGAACTTAGCAATTATAGGTTCCCAAGTCTCCATCGCCAATAGGAACTCCTAAATAGTAATTTTTCAAATCTAGTGACACCCCTATCACTCATCCCTATACCTTCAAATTTGCTTTTTGCAAAGTTTACTTTTAAACCTCACACCAGTTCAAAACACCTCATAATGCGCTTTATCACCACTACATTCTTCAAGGTTAGTTCCCCCAACAAATATAGTATCATCAACGCATTGTAAGAGATTCACATCCACCTTGTTACGCCTTACCAAAAATCCCTAATACAATCATTTTAACAATGCTTATTTCATTAAACCAATAAAACCCTCCCGAACCACGGTGAACAGGAAAGGTGCCAATGGATCTCCTTTGGCGAAGACCTTTTTCAAACTTGAAATCTTCAAAGGGGCTTGCATTAACCAATACCAAAATTAAGCTAGAACTTAGAAATTGATTTATCCATCTTATCTATTTTGATTCAAAACCCATCCTACCAAGCATATACAAGATAAAACTCCAATTTATCAAGTTGTATTCCTTCTTATAGTCCACCTTAAAAACTAACTTTTTTTCTTCTTATTTTTGCTTCATCAACAACTTCATTAGCCACCAATGCACTTTGAAGTAGATATCTACCTCTTAAAAAAGCACTTTCCCTTTCATCTATAACCTCTGGTAAAACACTCTTCAATCTATTAGCTAACAATTTCGACACAATTTTGTACTTGCAACCTACTAAGGATATGGGTCAAAAGTTGTTCAAACCTTAAGGATTCTCCACCTTTGAATAAGAGTAATAAAATATGGATTTGAGCCTCTAGGTAGCACCCCATTTTCATAAAATTCCTTCACAAATTGAAAAATATCCTCCTTTAAGACATCCCAAAAAGTTTTGATGAAATTGAAGTTTAATCCATCTAGTCCTAGACTTTTAAAATTTCCACAACCCTACACCACCTCCTTGATTTCACCTTCTTCAAAATTGGCGGTCAACCACACCTTATGATCCTCTATTATTTTAGGAAAATGGGTCTCGTCAAGATTCAGCCTCATCCACACTTCTTCCCCTAAATCTTTTCCGAAAGAATCTAGAAACCTTTTCTTTCACCCTAATAGCTAGGATCTTCCACCCATTACCCATCTACTTCAAGTCCTTTAATCACATTTTTCCTACCCCTCCAATTCACCATAGCATGAAAATACTTTGTGTTACCATTTCCCTCTATAATCCATTTACTTCTTGATTTTTGTCTTACTATGAACTCTTTATACTTTGCCAATTTCCACCGTTCTTATTGTAACCACCTCCTTTGTGTAATTTCTTCCTCACTCAAATTTATATTCTCCTTTTTCCTATCCAGATCATTCATTTCCTTTTCCACTTCTTGTATTTTTATGTGAACATTGTCGAAATGATCCTTATTCCACTCCTTTATCTTTCTTTTCAACTCCTTTATTTTCTCCTTAAAAACAAATGCTCCCCATCTATTAACTTCCATAAATAACCAAACATCCACTACAACCTTCTCAAACTCCCTCTCTTCTATCCAACAGTAAAAATCTAGAAAGGCTTTGGTCCCCAATCAGTAATCTTATTTTTTAGGAGCATAAGACAATGATCAAATATATTTTAATCCAAAAAATATTGTGTGCTTCTATTCCATTTTACCATCATTCTCTTGTTACCAACATTCGATCAAGTCTACTTTTGGATTTATCGTTTGTCCTATACCAAGTGTAGTTTCTTCCAATTGATGGGATGTCCACTAGCTCAACTTCATCAATAAAGTTTTTAAATTTTTCCCTCTCCCTATTTCCATATATGTTTTTTCCTTCTTCTTGTCTCTCTCATTCTTGCATTACATAATTGAAATCCCCCATCACACACCACTTGTTACAATCACTTCTTTTTTTTTTTTTCCACAATTTTTTTATAAATCAAAGTCAGAAGGTGAGTGAACATTGACTACCTCTTCTTCTCCATCCTTCTAAATTCCATATAATCCAACAAACCTTTATCCTACAAAAGAACTCCTTAATTCAACACAATTTTCACTCTATAGACATGACAATTTGCCTGAAGTATTCATTGTTAGGCTACTAACCCACTTGACATCTTTATCTCCCCATATAGCATGGCATAATTTATCTTCAATAGCCTCGATTTTGGTCTCTTGCAAGCACACTAAATTTGCCTATTCCTTCGCTATCAACTTTCTTATGCTTTTCCATTTCAACCTCATCCTCAATCCCTAATATTGTAGGAGATTAACTGCATGATTTCCCTTTAGTCTCCCCTTCCTTATCCACTTTTAGATTTCCCACCTCCTTTTGGTCTCTTCTCTCCATTTTTCACAAGCTTATCATTCATGTCATCGTAACCTTGTGTAGATATTACCCCTATCTATGTACCCAACTCCAATATTTTTTTGCATTCTTTACTTCATCCTTGAGCCAAAACACCCTATTACATTGCCTTATATCACCATCAAAGATGTCATTAATGAATGAAAAGCATGATGATCTTACTGTTTTCCTTCTCTGTGTCGCTTTACTTCCTTTGTGCCTTCCACTTGATAAGTTGGTTGTTTCTTCTAAAAGTGATCCCTTTATCATTTCACCTACTTCACCAATTCCTTCACCCTTGTTATTCTTGCTAGTAGCTTTTGTTATTTGTGGTGCCAAAATATGACACTAGCCCCTCTCCAAACTGTCTTCATATATCTTATCCATCTACTCATCTTAGAATAGTGAATTTGAGTCAAACTCAACCCAACAAAGTCGCTTATATGGTGACGATTGCTCTCCACTTATATACTATATAATTGCCTAATCTTTAGTCGATGTGTGGAACTTAGGTTTTTTCCAATACACTCTCTCACGTCCAGCACTATTGGGCTTGGTACATGGATAAATGATGGGTAACCCTTTCTAATGATCTAGGATAGGTGACCCTTTTTATTGATCCAGGATAACTCTGATATCATCTTAGAATAGTGGATTTGAGC